TTTGCGTCCCGAACGCATATCACAAACGAACTCGGCTGTACATTTGTCCCCGATCGCACTCCGATCTCTAAAAGAAATATCATATTACGAACTCGGCTGTAAACAAGCGTATCATAGGAGGATACCTATTTTCCGAGTCAGGATTCGAGTTAGGATTCGAGTTAGGATTCGAGTTTTAGGATTCGAGTTTTAGGATTCGAGTTTTAGGATTCGAGTTTTAGGATTTGTGGAATGCAGTCTCCGGGATCAAGTCTCATTGTGAGGCCACTCATTCCCAGTACCCACGCTGTCTTCTTTCTGTTTGTTGCCAAAATGGCGGAAGACACGAGGTTAGTAATGACTTATTCATATCCTTGTTATCCATCCTGCTAAAACTACCATCTTGGTCTTATCTGTTATGACCGATCGCATCATCTGTATTATTATTTAGGATTATTTTGTTTTAGTCTAATGGCAACAAATGTAAAAATATTTTTCTAAAGAAACGTATGGGAAAATAGTACTGGAGAGCAAGCCTCTAGAAAAAAAATGTTATATTTGCTATCAATTTTGAAGTGTTTAGTGTTGAGACTTGATACTTTGTCTTCTTAACTATTTTGATCCCCTCTTTCCATTTCTGGACATTATTTTTTGATAGCTGATTGATTTAAGGTAGGTGTGGTCACGTGACCCCCAGCTGCAAAGGGCCTATTACAGTAATTAGTCTGATTTATACAATTACAATGTAACATGTCATTTCTTTTAAATATATATTTTTTCTTTTAATACTTTTTTATAATATACGTTATTATTGAAAGTGTTCTTCTTTCCGAAAGAAATGCACGTCTGGTACGTATTTATGCTCTTCTATGAGAGACCAGATGATATCTGTTGATGTTTTAATTAGAAACAAGCATTGCTGGTTCCGGCAGTCTTACATTTTGATAGTTTTTATGATAGTTAAATTATGATTTTTATGATAGTTATTTTGATTTCAAAATTATTAAACTTTGTGTGCTTTTAATGAATAAAAAAATTAAATACTTGTTAAATTATTATTACTTATTGAATTATTACTTATTAAATCGAATCCCAAAACTCGAATCCCAAAACTCGAATCCCAAAACTCGAATCCNTATTTACGAGGGGGGAAAAATATTATTCTGGCTTTAAAAATCAATCTTTATTCATAAAACTGTTTATACTTATTAAAGAAAAAAGAAAAGAAAGAAAAAGTCTTGAAAAGTCTCAAGAAATGAAGTAGAAAAAATTTACGGCTTCATGAGGGCTCGAACCGCGAACCCTGCAATTAATACTTTGACACCGCCGTGAAAGCAACACAACCGTTGAGCCTGGGCCCCCTGTGTTCCAACTCGTTCTGCACAATGTTTTATCCGCCATTTTGATGACTATTGTCTCTACTAACGAATATGGGACAGAACATGAAGGTTTACGACCAATATCTGGCAGTCATTACTTGTCTGGGTGTTCGGACCAAGGGTATGTTGAATTATGATGACGAGGAGATCTCAAATACAGAGATCAACACACGCTTACTACTCGTGAAGCAACGATTAATATAATGATTGAATATCAATACTACTCTTTAGAAAATGCTTATGTATTTCATGGCTATTCAAACATCTGCAGTGGATATATCGAGTTTTAATGTAAATGTGCAAAAATATTGTGTTACCATCATAACAAAAAGTTATAATAAAGCGTCACGTTGTAACCAAATCATGCCTACTATATATCTAACCTTAAAATTATAGAGTGCTTTTAGTCAAACTGTGAAAAACTTAGTTAACTAAATAACTATTTAGGTGACGTCACATAAATTACTAAAAGCGCCCCATAGYAACAGTAGAGAAAATCAGGGGGGACACACAATAGTCTACTACACTCTAAAAAGTATTTAAGAATTTTGTAAGATGGCGAAGATTCAAGAGTTTATTTCTTCCACAGTTCTAGAAGGCGCTATTTCTGAATAGGCCCATAAGAAGAGTATTGCTAAACACTGCTGGCTTGCTTTTTCCAAGAGCTTCAGATCCAGATTATTTGACCGTTTAAGACTGTTAAACTCAAGCTTGGAGAGCAATAACAGTTCAACACTTTCAAACTTGTCGGTTTGTTTGCCGAGTACAAAGTTCATCGGCATGGGGAATCTTGAAAATAACATCATTTTTCAAGCTGTAAACGTTTACATCTTGAATGCAAATACCTCTCAAAGTGCTACCTACAGATCCAGATAACAGTGTTTACGTTTTTAAGCTGCCGAAGTACAGCTTCCCCCTGATTTTCTCGACGGTTGCTATGTCGCACTTTTACTAATTTATGTGACGTCACCTTATTTAGTTAACTAAGTTTTTCACAGTTTGACCAAAAGCACTCTACTGCACTATCACAAAGGCTTATTGCTTATCGCAAAATCACATATATCTTGGCAAGGCTCGGAGGATCAAATTAAGGCCCATTTACTAATGATTTCACAACACCATTTACAACAAAGGGTACGTGTCAACCCTGCATACAGGGTCTAGTTTGAACTTTTCATTCGGTGTGGTCACGCCATGTCCAGGTAATTAGGTTAATCTGCGTCAAATTCGAGTCAAATAAAGCTCAAACGAAAACTTTTTATATTGATGTTAAAGTGTAGATAATAAAACTTGGTTAATTATTCATTATCCTTTTGTCATTTCGTTATTATTCAATATTCCTAAAGGACCTGGTGCAATAATTCATTATTCCCAGTCATTTTTCGTCCGTTAGGCATTATTCATAATTCACCTTCACGCCCCGATTCAATACCGTCTTGCTTCAGGTCCACTTTTAGTACAAATAATAGTTCGTACTACTTTTGTACAGTTGCACGGTTAAAGTGCGATCACTCTAGAGTGAACGTTATTATTAATGCTATGCCAGCTATGCCTATTGTAATAGTAAATAGCAACAATTTAATTTGCCAGTATTTTTTGGTTATCACATACATGTATGCAAAAGCTATTGAAAAAATAGCCAAAATGATAATAATAAGTATTACCCATATCCACTGCTCTATAATGCCAGACAATATCAAGAAATCGAACATGTTATGTGTATGAGAAGAGGTGAACGTTCCGTGGATAAAGTCGTGGTAATTTGATAACAAAACAAGCAATCAAGTACGAGGGAGGTCCCCGGGGGGGTACTCGACCCCGTTTTGGATAGGTACGTGCCGCCAGCGGTCTAAATCCCTGACCCTGTTTAAGACACTAAAAACTAGTAAAAATCCATACTCTGTTCAAGACAAATCGGAAAAATAAGGAATAGCTATCTACGCCGCAACCATCAAAACTGCAAATAAACTGACATCCATCAGAGACAATAAGAAGTTTTTGATAACACGTTAATTCTGGGACAGTGAAACGGTATTTCTACTATTTCTATGGTGTTATGAAAATATTACCCTGTCCAAGACACACAAAAAAATTATATCGGTCTCTCTTATCTAAATTAATTGTAGAGTCTGTTTAAGACAATTTCGGGTGAAATGTATACCCTGTTTAAGACAGCAAGGCCAAAAACCATACCCTGGCCAGGGAGGTCCAATGATGAAGACTCCCCAATAACGGACCTTCTTTGCATAACCGGCGGTGATCTGCAGCATTATGTTCAAAATGAACCATATTTGAAAGACGAGAGTTCAAAAGAACTGCTTCCAGTCGATGATACCTTTGTATCTCATCAAGTATAGTCCACAGATCATGATTGGCATGTCAAAAAAGATTGACAGCAACACCGAAACTATCACACAAGCGTCTTGTCCTCCTSTMMRCACCACAWATGTCCAAAGCATCATATCCAATATGATCTCGAGTGCGAAAAACACGATGAAAGCCGATTGCTGCATTTTCGTAACTCGATGCATCTTCGAAATGATCTGTAGAACCTTCTCTAATTTTCTGCAAGTTCGGAGCGATATCTTTGCCAAGAACAACACCTCCGAGCACAATTTCGACGATTTGAGAGATGRTTTTTAATGCCCACACAAAACGACGAAATTTTGTATTGTCGATTGGGACTATTGTTATGGTATCAAATACCTTTCCAAATACACCCAATTCTTCTGGCAATACTATGTACTTATTGACTGAGTGGGAGGGCCGTACGGGAAAATATTTGGCTCGAGGTTATACCGTACGGACCGAGCGCAGCGAGGTCCGTACAAATGACCGAGAGCCAAATATTTTCCCGTACGGCCCGACCTAACTCAGTCAATAAGCATTTTATCATATGACAGCGTTTTTTAATGTAAAAAAAATAAATAAAAGCGCGCGGAACTTCAAGCCGGGAAAATACGGGTTTGTACGGACCTGTCGCGAAAAGGCGTACGGACCCCATCACGTGACCATTTTCCAAAGGTTTCAGTGAGAGCGTGCGTAGGGCCGAAATACGGGTCATATGATAATGCTGTTTATTTCTCGATTCGTGATTGGTTGTGACGCGAGCTCGCATTGTTTTCAAGTCGATTTGTCAATATTTTTACTAGTATCGCATAAAACACACGTTTTCACACATTTTTGTTTAAAAAAAAAAGATGTAACTATCGTTCCTAAAATAAATAGTGTGCTAGAACTTCTTTTTTGTTAAAATCCAGTTGATTCCTCCAGTCTTTCCGACGTCAGCATACCGCTGACATTAGCCGTGAAGACTCTGGGGTCGAGATTGATCAATCAACTGACATTTTTATAAGGGAACTTATGTAGCGTACATCAATGAAACTTATAATAAACGAAATACAGTACTTGTTCCATTTAATTTAAAGTGACACTTTAAGCTTGCCGATAAGCAGCACCACGTGCAGACAAAAACGAATAGCAAAAAACCTATGTGACCACAGCGTCTTCATGGTAATCTTCTTTGCAACATGGAGAACTCGAGTGGTGTACCATTTGCATTTTCAACCTAGGGAAGCTATTACAAAGTCATTACTGACATATTAACGAGAGCCCTCAAAGTTAATTCAAAGGCAAGGCAAGTAAGGTGGAATTGAACTTTTTATTGTTTCAATTATTATACAATAATTGGTCTAATGGAGGGATCTAAGCTTTTGTGACTTGCCACACTCTGATAACACTGTCTGTATAGCCAGCAAATAGTGTCTGTCCGTCTGGTGACCAGGCCAGAGAAATACAATCAGCAGATTGAACTTTGCCACCCATGTTAATAATCTCAGGACGAAGCTCATCGACAAGTGACTTGCCTTCCAAATCCTATAAAAAGAAAAGTAATGAAATATTCTTCTCTCTAAGTGAACATACAAGCACTGCCTCAAATCACAAGTACCTTGTTCGAAATTTGCACAATGTACAAGTTAATCAAATATATTTATTTTTGAAGAACTTCAAATTAGCCGGAGATTGTTGTCATGTGGGAAGAGGAACAATGAGCATCTCATGAAAATTAAAATACTCAGGAGCAAAATGGCCATCTTATACAGACCTTGTTCTTGACCATACCAATATACATGTATATTCATTATTATCTTACTGAGGAGGGGAGGGAAGGGTGGGTTTCCTTTAGCTTCCTACTTTGCAGATAAACTGTTGTACAAGTTAAAGGTGATACTCACCCAGATTTTAATGCTAGGGCCTGCAGCTGCACAAAGCCAGTATCTGTTGGGACTGAATGTCATGGCATTCAAGATATCGCCACCATTCAATGTGTACAAGTGTTTGCCTTCATTGAGGTCCCAAAGCATGGCCTGACCATCCTGGAACAAGCATCAAGAACAACTTTTATAACTCATAATACTTGCAAGTCTCAAACTCTTGCAATAATAAAAGTCACATACAATATCATGTAACTTTTGAAAAGTATGTTGTAAGTTAGTGAAGTTTACCTTGCCACCAGATGCACACAATGAGCCATCAGGAGACACTGTGACGCAGTTAAGATACCCTGTATGTCCAACATGGTTGGTCTTTAGACGGCAGTTGGTCAAATTCCACACCTAAAGTAACACATAAATATTAGTAACAATTTCCACACATCACATCAAAACCAACAGATGAGTGGGTATATACATGTAGAAGTGGGAAAAAAAGATGGGTGGCCAATCTCAATTCCTATTAGGTCAAATGTTAATAATATTTCAGATCCCTTGGGAGTGTTTTATTATTATTATTATGTTTGCCTTTATTTCCATCAATGCTTTGGAAGATACATCAATATGGTAGGCAGTAAATCAAAATGTTCTACTCCAAACAGGGTTGAAATGGATCAACCATAGCACAAACATAGTTAGTCTTTCAATAGTTGGTGGAGTTATCCTTATCCAGTCACCAAATCTACATTCATTTGTCCTAATAAAGAAAATAGACAACACTCTACACTGCTTGTAGACTACATGTATTTTTAGACAATTTTCAGCAATTCTGCATTCTGCAGAGAACTCTATTTTCTAATTTCCCCATTATTTACCCTTCCAAACTTAAATCTTACATTACCTTGACAAGTTTGTCCCAGCTTGCTGATACAATAATGGGGTTACCAGTGTTGGGTGAAAATCGCACACAGGAAACCCACTCAGTATGATTTTCTTCATTGATGGTGTACTTGCAAACACCAAGGGTGTTCCACAGTTTAATGGTATTATCTCTGGATCCTGACACGATTTGTCTGTTGTCAGCAGAGAAAGCAACACTCAGGACATCCTTGGTATGGCCGACAAACTGACGAGTGGTCACTCCACTAAAATAAACAATTGTTATTAAAAACATAATTATGTAAACACATATAAACAAATGGTTTTGAATGAAGTATGTGGTGAATTCACCTCTTTCCATACTCAGGTTCAGTGAACACAAACAAAGCATTGAACCGAGGTGTCAAGGAACTGATCACAGATCATTGCTTTTATGTTCACAGTAACTTGACACCTCAGTTTAATGCTTTATTTGTGGTCACTGAACATGAGTATGGAATATTGTGAATGTTTGCTGTTTTGGTAGCCTTGATATCCTTTGAAGACCTTTATGTAAACAGCAGTATTTGATAAAGGTGACAAACACTGCATTAATGTATTTTGGGGCTTGAAATGATCATGCAAGGAAGTACAATTTCATGCACTGCCAACTTTTTTGATAGTGTTTTGTCAACTGCTCTAATACTGCTACACAGAGGCGTTCACTTATATGTATATTGGCCTGGGAAACAGTATTAGAAAGACCTCAAATACTTTCAATGAAAGAAAGAAATGTAATGTACTCCATGCCGTTGAAATAGTACCACATGGAGCACATTTCTTTATTTCAACCATTACAGTACTTTGCACAGTAAGAGTTTGCCAGATACCCCTCTACTTACGCATTCAGATCCCACAGACGGAGGGTTTTATCCCAAGAACCAGATAAAGCAAACTGTCCATCAGATGACATGACAACGTCAGATACAAAGTGATTGTGTCCTCTAAGACACTTATCTGGAATACCATAGTTGGTATCATCTCTGGTCAACTTCCAGCTGATGATGGTTTTGTCTGTCAGGTTGGATGAGAATAAAATGAATGACAATAACGTTATTTCATTAAATCTAAGTTGGTATAGTTTCATTGAAAAATCGAAATTTTAAATTAAAATCATTATAAGCAAAAGTGCAGTGAATTCTTCAAAATTAGCAGAAACCACTATTGAAAGACATTATACTTGTACTGAATCGGGAAGTATTTTCTACCAGTATTTGTTTAAGAAATGAGCAGTTCACATTTTCCTGTGCTGAACATAAAATGCTACTTCAATTATAATATATAGATATATCGATTTAAAAACAAAAACACGAGAATCTAGTAGATGTACAAAGATACAATATTATCTAAGTGATCATTGAAAAAAATAATAGTTTGCGCGCTAGCACTACGTGATAGCTATTTAACCAACCAATTAATATGAATAAAATAAAAAAAAGTAAGTCAAGAAATCAAAGCAAGTAAAGTGGTGAGAAGAACATAGATCGAGACCAACATAGAGATAACTTACCTCGAGAACTAGACAAAATTGTATCTGGATTCGTAGGATTCGTGGCAATCTGAGTGACCCATCCATTGTGACCCTTAAGAGTTCCCTTTAGAACAAGTTGCTCGGACATGATGGCAGTTTTTTGGCCAAGATTCTGACGGATTCTAAATCCACCACAATGTAATGGCCGCCGATAAGAAGGAAAAGAGAGAGAGAGAAGGGCGAGCGCGAATTTGAGGCTGGGACCGAGCAAAACAATTAATCCAGGGAGGGGAGGGTAAACACCGAAGGAATGAATTCAAAAGAGCAACTTGATACTCATTCTTATATTCCTTACAAAAAAGAATTGTCATTTTTATATCTCTTTGCAGCATTTTGCATCATAAAATGGTAAAGTGTATTTATTCAATAAAGGTATAACCTGGTTATATTGTTTTAACTGTAAGAAGAAGAATATGTAAAAGAATTTTTCATTTTCTTTAAAAAAGACTTCCAGTTGAAATCTAGATCTAGACCTACTCAACACAATAAATTTTGTGATTGTTTTGAAGAAAACGCCGATAAGTCTCCTTATTTTGGGTTACCTGTGGCGAATCTTTGATTCAAAGCGAGGCTAGCGGTACACATGTCTAAAGTGACGTGGCGACCGCCATCTTGGTTCTTTTCACCGAAGTATTTTCTCTTCACTTCTTCAACCTTTCCTCCACTAGCACAGCCACAGGAACACAGACGTTAGATAAAAAACATCTCTCTGGAGAGAACTAAGTCCTTTTGAAGGCTAATTTACCGCAATAATGCTGACAAAATTTGAGACAAAGTCAGCTCGAGTAAAAGGTTAGTTTTGTGTGATTCCTTCATCTTTGAACTATCGTAGGGAGGCTTAAATGTAGAAAATACATTGCTAAGTTAATACTTACATCGTACTAATAACTCTTCTTGAACTTTGTTTGCTTCTTGTGAAATCTAGTCAATGAAATTTCATGGAAGCACCCTTGTAATATAATTTGATTCACTACATTTCTTTGCACTTATTCCCACGAAAATGCTCGTATATTTTACTGTAAAATATTTTTCTATAATGCTCGGGAAATCTTATCTCTATTCTTACTGACAATATAAATGACTAAATTCTTATCTATATATTTACATTAATCTAATTTCAAATGAATATTTATTCCTAATATAATTAAAATGATATTGAATGAAATTTGAATGTGCTTACATGTAYATAGTAATAAAACACTATTATTTATTTTCTTCTGAATAATAATGATTATACTACTATTTCTATTGAAATATGACGCTGTAAGCTTAGTTTACTGATTGCTGCAGTCAAATCCAGTACCAGTACTCATTCAAATTTGTAAAATAATGTATATTGTCTGTTGCAGGGCTTTGTTTTCATAGCAAGAGACCCTGGGTTCTTGCCAGTCTCCACAATGGTGTTATACAGTTATGGGATTATAGAATGTGCACTTTACTGGAACGATTTGATGAGCATGACGGTTAGTACAATAAATTGAAATGTGAATCCAGACTTACTACTGGAAAAAAAGAAAGAAAAAATTCTGACTTTGAACGGGATTCGGTCACACGACTTTTGTGTTACCAGTGCAGTGCTCTACTGAGCTATCAAAGCAATGTGAGAGTAGTTGCATAGTGGTTAAAAATTGGCATCAACTGGTTGAATTGTCAAAGTACTTGACTTAGAAGATATATTACTTCAAAATGATATTATATATTTTTCATATCAAGTTCGTGTTATGCAGCATTGGTTTCAATAGTAGGTGGCTATCAGCAGTACAGCACGGTCCATTTTATCTCTTATCACTGGTTATTTTGTGTCTTAATAGATATGACTATAAATTGTTTGTGACACAAATGCTTACGTCAATCACTCAATCACTCCTGGCCTTGCGCACGGAGTTCCTATGCACAAAAATTCTCACGCTACATTTATAATGTTTTCTCAAAATGTAAGTAAAAATCAAGTGCATTCCAAATATCAAGACAAACGTTTGCGAAATTTTATAAAGCTTTCGATTATCGAGTTAATGTAAATTCGATTCGGAAAAAAGGGCCGTTTTTTAGCGATTTTTGCAGGTACACAAATTAAGTTTATCGCATTTATCTTTYGTACACTACAAAATGTATTTGAAAGTTTTAGTTTACCAGAATGCACTTAAAATTGTCTTTCATTTCAGGAATCTATATTGACAATTCTAAAAGAAGTCGCGGAGAAATTGTCATTTGGCTAGCGTGAGAATCAAAAATAAATCTCTAAAAACACAGTGGTAGTTCACCTATTTACGCCTTCCGGTACGCGTACGCCATATTTTCGCCCTCTCGGTGATTACGCAAATGACGCATTACGCGTTCGCATAGGACGCGTTCGCCTTTTTCTCCCAAATGACGCATTTTTCSSCCAAYCAAATGACRCATTTTTCGCCCAAAACTAAATACTAATGTCAAGCGTTTTACTTGTGTAGTAGAAATTTGGCGGGACTGACCCTTTTTTCCGAATCGAATTTACATCACATGACCGTGAATAAACTCTTTCAATATTTGGCTCAATGTTAATCAACGCTGGCAAACAACTACGATTGACTTCAATAAATTGATGCGCTTACTCTGGCGTGTTATTTTTTTCTAGTTTTTCTGTACCTTTTTTCTAAGAGATAAATGCAAATTTTAGACTGTTCACAAGCATTTTCACGTGCTCAAACACAAGATGCGAGACAGATCGTCTCGCTTGATGTCTACTTTTACCAAACAATAATTATTTGAAAACATCGTAAAATAGTCTATTATTGGGAGAAAACGGTAATGCATTTCTTTTGCTTTTGAAGGGTAAAAATCAATGAGATTTTTATCTAGTTTTTTTCTTCTTAAAATYGTTTTCCAAATTCGGCAAAACTGTCGCGTTACAAATGCTACCAGTGATGAAATGGAAACGGAGGCTCGCATATTCTATCCGTTTTAATAAGGTTACATTGCGAWGGGTTTAATATAATTACTAATCACAAGAAATGTAAAAAAGAACATTTTATTCAAGGTATGCATAAATAATTATAATCTAATAGGTCGATATTTTCAATTTGATTCTTCGTTGACAGAATAGTGGCAATCGGCGAAACGCAAAGGACGTACTTTGCGTAATTGTCTAGGCGTAATTCGCGTAATACGCGTAATTTGGGAACACGAAAAAGGCGAAAGGCGAAAATAGGCGTAATCGTCAGCGTTAAAAAGGCGAAAAAAAAGGCGTAAAAGGYGTACACGTAATACGCCTAAGGCGTAATTCTCATGATAGTTTTTTTGCTAATTTCTGTCTCACGGCAAAATGGAATTTTAGTGAACACCACTGCATATTATCATCATTAACCTTTATTTCTAAATATTTATACAAAGACAACTATATCTATTGTAAGCTATATAAAATTTCCTATCAAATGGCGTTGATTTGTTCAAGAAAAATATTAGTACTATTGAATGAGGAGATTTTCTAAACAATTTTTCTGRATTTTCTTACGAAGTTGCCGTGCATACGAACTCCGTGCGCATGGCCTCACTGTTACAGTAGCTATAGGACAATGCATCTTGGTCTACAGAACATTAATAGAAAATTTCATGAAGAYGTTCCAGACATTATACTAATGTTCATATAGTGTATATACTGTACAAATGATGTTTTCTATTCATTTCCCATGTTGTCTTATTTGTAATTTTTATTTACTTCATAAAATATTTTATATAATTTTCAACCCAGGTCCAGTAAGAGGGATTCATTTTCATGATGTCCAACCATTGTTTGTGTCTGGAGGTGACGACTATAAAATTAAAGTTTGGAACTACAAACAAAAACGCTGCCTTTTTACACTACTTGGCCATCTTGATTACATAAGAACAACCTTCTTTCACCATGTAAGTTGATTATTCAAGTATCAATAAACTATACATAAATGGTGCTTATTTGTTTTTATAAGTTAAACATAGAAATTTTTTTAAAAATAGTCAAAAGTATGCCAAATTTCAGCCCTACAATAAAATGTAAATAAGTAGTAACCTTATGATAAAGTATTTGATACAAACTGCAGTGAATGAATTTGTAATGATTCATATGATTGAAGCAGCATAGATAGAAATGATAATTTCCTTATGGCATGATGACATCAAAGTACATGTTTACATTAGGGATAGACTCTCAGAAAGAGTGGAGTTTTTTGACCCATTTATATTCCTTTTTAAACCTTCATTATGTAACAAGTTTTGATATATATTTTTTTGATATGTATTTTTGATATATTTTTTAGATTGCTCATTTGGATGATTTTTTTTTTTTTTTTTTTTTTTTTTTTTTTTTTTTTTTTTTTTTTTTTTTTTTGATT